TAGTCTATTTCTTTTCCTCTCCTCCCTTTTTGTCTCTAAAAATATGTGTCATTCTCTCCCTGACTTCCTCTCTCCTATATTAGGTCTCCCTTTTATTGTTCCCTGATGTTTAGAAGATTTTTCTGAGGGACTCTCCTGCCAACATAATTCTGTGTGAATTACATTCGTTTGTGCAACCTCTCACTACATAAAGACGTTCTATTTAGTTAGTAAAAATTCTTTTTCCACTCTTTGGTCCTAGACAGAGAATTAAATATCACAAAGTCTGGAGAGTCATTAGCTGGGAAAGTTATTAGTGTGGGAAAAGCAAAATCAGCGTCTATACCTCGCAGAAACTTATTGTGTCTCAAGCTCAGCTGTGTCTTCTCCCAGGGTTGCAGACGTCATAGGACTATGAAGTGATAACGTGGAGGATGTTGTTATTCACTTAGGGACAGAGTGCATTACTGCTGCCCTGGGACCCAATAATGGAACAAGGAAGTTTGAGGATTGTATATCTTGAGCATAAACTAAGCCACCTGGGAGCCACAGGACTGGTTAAGAGGAAATGCTTTCCTCTTTAATTTAATGAAGAATGTAAAGAAAATTTGTTTTATTTTGTATTTCCATGAAGGCAATATCTAACATATATAAATTTGGGATGCCAATCTAAGATTATGGTGTGTTTATCCATGCATGATAACATAAGATTTGGTAAATAGAAACAAGGGTATCAGAACATAGAAGAGAATTTTTGTTACATAGAGGCTTTTAAACCAGACATGACTACATAGTCAGATTCTCCAGCAAATAAATAAACAACAAGTACTTCAAAAATTGACTGGGTGGGGGGTTGGAGTAGTTGGTGGGGACCAGGGAGTAGAGGAGGAAGAGGAAGCTGGGAGTAACGTGAAAAAAATTTATAAATTTTTGTTATTTTGAAAAATGAAAAAAGAATAATGAAAAAGAAATTGTAAAAGCTTATGAATAAGACTAGAACAGTAAGCCAGAATGTATACCTCTCTTTAGAAGCAATAGGTATCTATGTGTATGATATTAAGCAATTCTTTTTTTCTAAATGGTTTCCACATCTCAGCTTACATTGTCATCATTGTCATAAAATGGGGAAAGGGATGTGTCTTCATCTTACCCTTCAGCACTACTGTGAGAGAGAAAGGCATGGATAAAATTAATTTGACATATTAAAACTATCCTTTAAGCTGATTTGATTTCTAAAGATTCTCAGAAGGAACAGTGGCAAGTACAAAATCAAGCATCAAGATGAAAACAGAACATGTAATCATCAGTCCCACATGCTCTATTGACTGTGCGGATGTGAGAGGCAGCTGTCAGGAAGCCAGAAGAATATTGGTCATGCACAAGTTGAACAGCAGTAACCTGTGGAAACTCAAATGTATCCGGAACTTCAGTTACAACATCCAAGAGATGAGCAAAATGGAAATGAGTTATTTACATTGCTGTAAGAAAGAAATAGACTCCTAAACATCTGGCTGAAGATATTAGCTGCCCATTACTTTCTCAGTTGCATTCCTATTTCTACGCAATTGCTATTGGACAGTTAAAGTAGAGGATGCCCTTTTATCATTATTCTGTGTCCTTCTTTCTTTGTACCACTTTCTAGTACTTTCTCTCATTGGAATCTATTATCTGAGTAGTCTTTGGCAAGTATCAGATGCTATGTAAGGTAGATGACATACTTTAACTGACTTTTATGAAGTATCCTGCCAGAGCCAGACATCATCTCCAGGTCACCAAGAAGATTAAATGGTGAGCCCGAATTCAGTATGTAAGTCCACATTCTTTTGTCTCTTTTGCTGGAACTCTTTGCTCGTCACCTCACTGCCTTATATCATTCTTCTTACTAGAGCATTTAGGATGCTGTAAATTCTTCCTGTGATCTGAGGTCAGTTTAAATCTCTGCTATATAATAACTGGGCAAACCCAAGGCCAGGGTGTTTTTTCAAGCAGCAGCTGATATGCTGCCTTTGCTGCCTTTTTTATTTTTGTTTTTCAAATACAAGATAGTACAAGGCCCAGCAGGAGTCACATACGTGACTACCAGTAAATTGTAATAATAATACTTTGTATCAACAGAGTACTATACATTTTAGGTATTCTTGGACCAGGTCCACATTAATTAAACTACAATACATCAGAATCTTAGAGGTCAAGACTGCGGCACTTTCAGAGAGGGATAAACTGAGATGATAACGACTCTCACAAGGAACAAAATCAAGACAGATCATTTGTCACAATCACCTCTGAGTCAGATGATAGAAGTCTGAGCTGCAAGTCAACCTAAATAGTCATTAGATAAAATTGTATGGCAGAGAAATTTCTGGCTGTGAAGTCAGTAGACGTGAGTTTCTGGGCTGATCTTTTCATTTGTTATCAGCATGAAGAGAGTCAAGTCACCTTTATTTTCCTATTTTCCTTGTGCCCAAGAGCAAAACAAGAAATCAGCTGAGTAAGGCCTTACCAGGATCATCTGTACTTGGGAATTACCTGAACATAGGTTTCTAGACATTGCTTCATTGACTTTCCAATGGTGTGGCTTAGAATCATAAAGGTAGGAAAATGAGAGGTTAATTATTGGTGAATCCATTTAAATAAATGAAGATTCACTGTCTTACCCTAGTAATTCTAATTTACATCTGCCAGGAAAGGCAAAAAGAAAAGTTTTAAACACTACTCAGATTGTTCTGGTAAAACTATTCATCTGATCTTTGCAATTTTCCATTAATGATAATGACGCTTCCCCACGTGGGCAGCATTTGCCCTCCACCCATCTCTTCTAACCTCAGATATTGCCACACTATGATGGTTAATATTGATTGTAAACTTGACAGGATCTGGGCCTGCCTGAAAAATAAGCATTTGGGTACATCTCAGAGACATTAATTAGCTTGATTGACAAAGCCCACACAAGTGTCTTCCAGGAAACAGTTGATCTAGATTTATTGAGGTAGGAAAACTCTGAATGGAGATCCTTATGTGCTGGCATCCTGAACAATGAGAAAAGGAGAAAATGAGTTGAGCACAGAATCTTTTGTTCTGTGCTTCCTGATTGAAGAGACAATGTTAACTGCTGTCTTAAATTTTTATACCCTCAACTTTCATGCCTTGATAGACTTCCTATGAAACTGTCAGCCAAATTAAGCCCCTCCTTCCTTAAATGCTTTAATTAAGGTATTTTATAACAGCAGTAAGACAGTAAGCAATACACCAGCATGACTGAAAGCACTTAACATCCACTAGTACTCAACATCTGTTGTATTGGACAGATGATAGGTAATACCCTTAGGATAAACTAGAATAACTGTAGCCTTTTCACTCACATATTAAAGTAACCCAGTGTAGATACAAGGCTCTAACTATATTATATAAAGCTATTAACAATGTGGAGAACTCTGAGGATCTAATGCATTCTGGAAGTCACTCCTAGAGAATTTCTTACAGATTGATAAACAATTTGGCACTCAATTTTGGAACTTCTTAGATATTCAAAAGGTATTCTATGAAAACTGTTTTAAAATATGCTAGAAAAGAGATGATTGAATGAAAAATTACATTTTCATAAAGACATGAGTGATGGGAAATATGATCACTGCTTTTTAGATATACGGAATACTGTCATGTAAAAAAGACAATACACCTGTCGCTGTGGCTCCTGAGTGAAATCACAAAGACAGCACATCATGATAAACCCAAAGGAAAAGTTTTGAAAAAAAAAGGTTTTAAATAATGAGTTAAGAGTCTTTAAGGAGGTAGAGAGCTCAATGTTGGAAGAGGTACTTAAACAAACAATTCGAGGCATTATTAGGACACTAAGGATTGAATTATTTATAGCAATCTGACCATCTTTGTGTAAAATAAGTAAGAAAGTCCTATGAACGGACATGTAGCTATGGAATTCCTCAACATTTCAAACACTAAAATTTCTAGAACATAAGAGCAATAGCATCAAATAATAATTAATATTAGGAGAAATGTAAAAAAGTGGGGAAATGTGGCCCACTATTAAAAACACAACCCCAAGATAACCCAGGATTATAAAAATGTGTAGGTATTTTCTGGCAGTTTTAACGATAATATCAATGGACTCAAAGGAAGTGTGTTCATATGGAAGGCAGACACAGTGATGATTGCATTGAATAAAACAGTAGTGTAACTAGTGGCTGATTTCTCACTGAAACAAACAAGCATCAGAAGACGAAACACCTTTTGTCATGATTAATCTTCATTGTCAAGGTGATTGGCTTTGGAATCACCCAGGAGAAGTACCTCTGGGGCTTCCCAGAGAGTTAATGGAGGAGAGAAAACACACCCTAAATGCTGATAACACTATGCGGTGTAGTGGGGTCCTGGAAAATAATAGAAAGAGAATAAAAGAGAAAGGAGCTGAGTAGTAGCATTTGTATCTGTCCTTTCGAAGCAGAGGCAATGTGACCAGCTGCCTCACACTCCTTCCTGACACAGCAAGAATTTGTTTGGCCATGATGTCTACCATACCATACCATAGTTGATTCTTTATAGTAATTTGATCACACTATGGAGACAGTAACTTAGACTTCACCTTAAACACGCTCAACCTTGAGCAACATGCTCAACCTACAACAACAACAACACACACACACACACACATACACACACACATATATATATATATATATATATATATATATATATATATAATGAATACACAATGAAGGCAGCAGGCAGAAGCAACATGAAGTCCAAAGCTGCCATGTGTGGCAGAGACTTGGGAGGAAACCCAGCAGCAGAGGCTTCTTGAGAGTACAAAAAGAGGCCCTTGAAGTGGGAGGTTCAGGATACAATCTTTGTAGGTTTCCAGGGCAAGAGGGCCTTTTGAAGTCCTGGGTTTAAGGAACCATATTAGTATGTACAGACATGCTATGTCAGAAGTGACTGGGAAGCCTGAGATCCTGAGAATGACTGCTGGAGACACACCTCAGGAGGCAGTGAAGATGGAGACCCACCTCAAGTGGCAGTCATGATGGAGTGCAGCAGCATCCTTGAGCGAGAACCAGAAAAGCATCCAAGGTATTCCAGGCAAGTACATCACAGTTCACAGAAGATGTTCTTTGGTCTGAGAAGAAGATTTAAAAGATTATTTCGGTATGAATAGGGAGAAAGCATTGATTGTACAGCAAAAAATAAATTGCTTCACCGGAGTGTCAAAAATATCGGGAGTTATCATCTCCGCTCATACTGCAATGTGGAGAAGGTCCGAAACTAGAAGTACAGACTGGATGCCAATTCACTTACTCTGCATTGTCCATTGCTATGCAGAAAGATCCAGTAAAGAAAATCTTCCCAGAAGATATAAATCTTAACATCACAAGGATAAGTTTAGGGAGGACTTTGGTGAATTTTGCAAAGGTTGGGGCCATTCAGCTTCCCATAGATCTCAGGTTCAACAAAAGATTGAGTTTTTTATGAATTTTAAAGAAGTGGGCTGCAGAACTAAATAGAGAGTTTTCAATAGAGTTCAGGGTGAGAGTGCACCTCACATTGTAAAATGACTGAGAGGCAGTTGAGAAAGTGCTCAACATCCTTAGCCATGCGGGAAATGCAAATCAAAACAACTCTGAGATACCATCTCACTCCTGTCAGAATGGCTAAAATCAAAAACATCAATGACAATTTATGCTGGAGAGGATGTGGTGAAAGCGGGACACTCCTCCATTGCTGGTGGGAGTGCCAACTGGTTCAGCCACTTTGGAAATCAGTATGGAGATTCCTCAGAAAAATGGGAATAAACCTACCACAAGACCCAGCAACTGCACTCTTAGGCATATATCCAAAAGATGCCCATTCATACAACAAAGATGTCTGTTCCACTATGTTCATAGCAGCTTTATTTGTAATAGCCAGAACTTGGAAGCAACCTAGATGTCCCTCAACCAAAGAGTGGATAGAGAAAATGTGGTACATTTACACAATGGAGTACTATTCAGCAGAAAAAAACAATGGAATCATGTGATTCACAGGCAAATGGATGACACTAGAAGAAACCATCCTGAGTGAGGTAACCCAGTCACAAAAAGAGAAACATGGCATGTACTCTCTAATGTATGGATTTTAGGCATAGATCTGGGGCGTGCCAGCCTACAATCCTATGGCCAGAGAGTCTGGGAAACAGAAACTTCATTTAGTGGCTGATCGAAGAAGAGGCAGACTCCCTTGGTTAAGTACTGAGCTGAACTCAAGAAAGCCAGTAACAGAGAGGGAGGACTGATGATCAAAGGGATTAAGACTGGGCTGGTTTAACCCCCAGAAACAGCTGACCAGACAAAGGTTAACTCTTGAATCCCAGGCATCAGACTGGGAATACAGCATGGGACTGATCAAGACCCCCTGAATCTGGGTGTCAGTGAGGAGGCCTAGGTAATCTACTGAGCCTTGGGCAGCAGACCAGTACCCATCCCAAGTATACACACGGACTTTGGACTCCCATAGAACAATGTGAGGTGCACTCTCACCCTGAACTCTTGGGGAAGGGTCTAGGCCCTGCCCTATATGAAATGACAGACTATGGACACCCCCATGGAGGGCCTCATCCTCCCTGGGGGAATGAGGGGATAACGGGGGGGGGTTGGGGGGAGGACACGGGAGGAGGGGAGGGAAAGGGAGAGGGACCTGGAACTGACTTGTGAAGCAACCTTGTTTCTTATCTAAATTTAAACTGGAAAATAAAATTTAAAAAAAGAAGCCTCAGTGAAGAAGACTAGAGACAAAAAAGAAAATCTGAACTTCTAGTAAACACTAGTATAAAATCAAAGTGGTCTACCCACAGAGGTATGTCAGCCATAGACACATGACTCTGGGTGTTGTGAAAATATTAATGGAAGAAACTGAAGAAAAGCCAGAGGTAAGGTCAGTGAAATACAGACTACAAAATGAACCAGTCAAAATTGATACGGACAAATGCCTTCCTAGGTTGGACGGGGAGAAGACACAAATACATAACATCTCTCTGGCTGTCCTGTGCACAGTTGTTGTTTTTTTTTTTTTTTTCATTTTGATCCTGGAAATCTATGTCATGTTTCCTATTTCTGTATTATTACTTGGCTAGTTGGTTTAAGCAGCAAATTAGTGTCTTACGGACTAGAGAAAGATTGGAACTTATTTTATTAGTGGGTTTTATAAAACCAAATTGTAGAATTGGCTTCTTGCAACCACTCTGCAGCAAGCATCTGTGAACCCTGGTTAGATTGGGTGAATTTTGTCTTGTAAAAAAGTGGTACATTTTGTGACCTTTTAATATTTATTTCTTATGTCTTGGATACCCCATCATATAAATAGTAAATTACTGTGGTTTTTGGTACCTTCAGGAAACCTAATATATAGTATTTCACACCTTCTTGCCATAGTCTGGATATTTAAGTAATCAAGCTTTGAAGATAAAATTAAAACATGTTTATCACCAAAAATGTAGGTAACATTCATATATCTGAGGACAGAAAGTTTGAGAACACAAAATAATTTGTCTCTCAAAGCCTGGAATTACATGAATCACAGAGGTAGCTCATTATCTGAAAACTATAAACATATCTACGGGAAAGATATAAGAACAAAAATATTTTCTAAAAGTAAATATGAGAAAGCAATTTTCTATTTTATTAATTTAGCATGGACGCACATGACTAGAACAGAAATTCTATAGTGCACATATATTTCAAAGATATAAAATACAGGGCACTATACAGCATTAGAGTGGCAAATACATTCCTGATGCTCCAGAAATTTCAATGCGTAGAAATAGGTACATGAACTGCAGCCAACCATAATAAGGAAAGAATGCCACTGGAATCCCTCAGAAACCATTTAAAAACATATAGCTGAAAAGTAGAAGAATTAAAATTAAATGCTACAAAAATATTTGATCAACCCAAATGTAGGCAGGAAAGGACAAATAGCAAACTAATTTTAAAAAGCACACCTAAATCCAACTATATGAATAATATTAAATCTAATTTAATTCAACATTACAATCAAAAGTCTGAGATTGTTAAACTAAATAAAAAAAGAATATAATATTATAGAGTTATGCTTTAACCATGAATTTAAGGAATCTGAAAAAAAGATAATGGAATAAAACCAGTGGGCAAACTATAGGATTAGGTGTTGAAGTGAGAATATGAATACCAAATGAAACTGTCTTAAGAAAAATCATAGCCGAGTGGTGGTGGCACACACCTTTTTTTCCCTCAATATATGTTTTTATTTAAATTTAAAACATGAATGCTTCACATGTCAATCCCAGCTCCCTCTCCCACCCCTCCTCCCTTGTCCCTCCACCAGCCTCCCCTGGCCCCCACCCCATGCCCACATCATTCCCCTGGGAGGGTGAGGCCAACCTTGGGGGGATCTCCAAAGTCTGTCATTTCATCCAGGACAGGACCCACACCCTTCATTGTATACGAATGATCTTTGGGAGCCCATTCCAAATAGAGGGATGCTCTCTCAGCCTGGTGGCATACACTTTTAATCCGATCACTTGGGAGGCAGAGGCAGGTGGATCTCTGGGAATTAGAGACCAGTCTAGTCTATAAGAGCTAGTTCTAGGGCAGCCTCCAAAGCCACAGAGAAACCCTGTCTCGAAACCCCCACAAAAATCATATTTCAATTTTTTATAACATAAAGTTTGCCTATCTTGCTTCCTAATACATCTCAGGAACACCAGCTTAGGGTGGATCACCCACACTGTGTTGGATGCAGTCCTATCCAATACTGAAAATGTTCACTGATTTGCCATACATCAGTTCAGAGTGACACAACTCCTTAATTGAGGTGCTCTCTTTCCTAATGACTCTAACTTGTGTCAGGTTAACAAAACTAGCCCTCTTCCTATCTTTCATCTTTCCTCTGACTTTCTTTATCATTAATACACACACACACACACATACACACACACACAAAGATTATACATAAAAACAGTGAGAAGACGTGTTTTACCTGTATCTGCTGAGAACAGGTTGCAAACAAATCCTTTTAAATGTTTAAAGGGATTGGGTGGGGGGCTGGGGGACTGGTGGAAGGACAAGGAGGAGGGGTCGGAGAGGGAGCTGGGACTGACATGTGAAACATTCACGTTTCTAATTTAAATAAAAACATATATTGAGAAAAAATACTTCTTCATGACATTTTCCCGTCTATGACATCTCTCACGTATAAGTCTCAATATGGTGATATTTAATAGTTAAAATTAATACTGAAACTGTATTATTATTTAATCTATCTGTCTACTTAATTTTCCTAATTGTTTCATTTAGGTTATCTATTTTAACAAAAATATCCAGTTTCTCTATTTCAGATTTGAATCTTAACGTTACACTGCACGGCAATCACATCATGTCCCTTCCACTTCTATTTTTATGGCCAGATTCCTCAGTTCCTATTGTAATTCAGGTTAGAAACTGTATGTCTTCTTTGGTAAGGCACTCCACTTAGTTTGAATTTAAATGGTACATTCTTTATAACTACTAGGCTTTAGTTATGTCTTTGTAGCACTGAATGTATTAGGAATAACATTGTGCCTTTTTAAATCAGATCTGTTTCTTCTGCTTTTTTATCATTTGATGTTTTCATACATTTATGTAATAACATTAGACATTTTTACCCCTGTCTTCATATTCCATCCTCCTTCTACTCAAGTCTATTTGCCGTATTGTTTCTGTCTACTATCAGGTATTTTCTATTAAAGTTTTCCTCTGAGGTTACTGGTTTCCATTTTGTTATAGTATGTCTCTTATTTAGAGGCATTTAAGACCCTCAAAATATATAATCCCTCATTAAACTTTTAACTACTGTTGTGAGTGAACTGCTGTTGCTATGATCTTTACCACAGGACATCAAGGCAGGTAACAGTTGATACTGAAAAATTATCAATTCATTCAAAAGAAATAGAAGTCATGAATGTGTTTATGCCTAATAATAGAGTTTAAAAGACGTGAATAAAGTAACAAGGCACATTTAAGATTATGATACTCTTTCCCAATTATTAAAATAATAAAATCTTAATGATATTTTCTTAGTTTCTACTGTTGCTAAGATAAAACCTTTGTCCAAATGTACTCATGAGAGTAATGGTGTTTTCTATTTTTATTAATGTTTTGATTGTCTTAAGTCACAGTTCAAGGTATAGTACATCAAGGTAGGGAAGCCTACATAGAAAAAGTTTCCAGTAACTGGTCATATGACATCCACAGTCAGGAAATAAAAATAGACGCATGCCAGGTGCTGCTCAACTTCATTTCCTCACTTATATACTCTAAGATTCTCTGTCTAAGACAATACTCATCCATAATTAATACGGGCTTTCACATGTAAGTAAACATAATCAAGATAAATCCTCGTGACAAATTCAGTAGCTTATCTCTCAAGTGGTCACCAGAGCCTATCACATTGACAACTTACAGGAAGTATCACAAAGACAGATCTGAACAAAGTTATCAGATCTATTGGTATAAGTAACAACGATACCTCAACATACAATGTAGTGTTGATAATACATTTTTTCAAATGTACATAAAATAAGCTTCAATATAAAGCACATGCTGAATTATTAAATACATCAATAATTTTTACAGTACCAAAATCATACAAAATTTAGCTTTTAAACAATTGGGATTATTATATAAATCAAAGGTATATATTCAGGAATATACAATAAACACAAACAAAAGTATAACTATAAGCTACAATTGTAAAAGCACAATTATTTGTAAGTTAAAGTGGTAGAAGAGTGAGCAGTGACATTGCTTAAGAAGTGGTATTATAAATTATTGTAAATATAGATTCCACATTATGGTTCCCTTAGGGAATTTTTATAGAGAAGCATTTTCTTTATAGATATATGATCACTTGCTATTTTCATATTAAACTGAAAAATCTACAGTTGAAGAAAGACTGACAATGGCAATTAAATATAGTTGGGTACTTAAGTCAGAGGTAGCTAGTACGAAACAAGCAAGGCCAACAGCTTCATAATTAATACAGCCTCCTGTGTGTTTATTTGGGACTGATGTGGCTCTGGAACTAGGCTGGCGGGGAGGCTTCTCTTTACAGTTGGGGATGTTTGAATCCAAGGTTTGGCAGAGGACTTTCTCAATAAGGGAAGGAAAACTTGACCGGATCTGCCATTATCTTCTAAGACAGTGTGATCTCCCTGAACAGAGGTAAGATCGGGACTAGTATGTGTCATAGAACGTGCTCATCTCAAAGGTTATGGTTACTATCCCTTTAGGATTTTTTTCAGAAGTGAAATGGTCTAACCTAATTTTCCCCGATTCTACCTTTTAGATTGATGACACTATGGTGGCTTCAGGGAACTACAGAAATGAAGTAGCAGCAGTGGTGACAGAATCACTTGGTGGCACAAGCCACATAAATGCCATTGGATCTTTATTAGAATGGGATCAGGATGCTTCCAAGCAGCTGACCTCAGGAGGCTATTTCTGCCAGCAGACTATAGCATAAAATTGCATCTACATCTGTATGCACATTTATATAATTTATGGATTTTATTTTGTTTTGTTGTATCTCATAACTATTTTTTCTGATATGAGTGTTCTTTAAGTAAGATGAATATCTATGTGAACATGTATATTAAATTTATATATAGTGGTGTTCTCAGCAAGGAAGTTTTCTTTTATCATTATCCTCTTAGAGTGCTGTTCTTTTCACATTATTTAGAGAAAATAAATCAGTGCCTTAAAAATGATCAGGAAACTGGAGGTGAGGGACTGCACTTGATTTCTTTCTGCCAGGTGATGATCTTCACACTTGCAAGAGAAAAACAGAATCTGACAATACAACTGTGTGTGCTAAGAACCAGTGTGCTAGTCAAAATCAGGGTGCTAAGAAGAGGGAGGTGGAGGGGAACATTAGGAATTAAGAAAAGTGGTTAAGATGAGTGCTTCAAAAGGTCAGGCAGCTAAGAGTCCCTTGCCGGGCGAGAATCAGAAGTCACACAATTCAACCCACACAGGCCCACATGAGCGACCAGAATAATTGATGATATAAGAGCCAGGATCTGCGTAATTCACAGCATTTTATGCCTCCCACAGACTTGCAGCCCAACTGTCTCATGGTAAACACAACAGAACTCAGGAGATGCAGGGACTACTTGAGGCTTTAAAGTGTTAGTGTGTTTGAATGTAAAAGGGCAAAGAAAGCCATCCTGATATCAGCCACTATACGTTTTAAAGACAGAGTATTGATTACCCCCTGTGCATCTGAATTCCCATTCACAATAATATATGTACAGTGTAAACAGATAAACAGGAGAGGATACTCAGACTCAAGACTTCAATGTGTTTATCCTGCTCTTAAATTGCAGTAGCATAGGCTTGCTCTTACTACATACTAAAAACATGTCTGTTCTCTGTTGAGATGCAGACATAAGAGTGCCTATTGGAAAAGTCAATGATATTCAAAAACTATGCTAGTATCTGATACTTGGCCCTTGGTTTTTAAGGCATAATAAGATCAGCAAATATTAATCACACCCAATTAATGATTTAGACTTGACGAATTGGAATCACAGCTTTTCCTGCCTTTAAAAGGATTTGGGATGTAGGTAGAGAAGAGCCGGCTGGCACAGGATATTGGGACTCTTCCCACTTGCTGTATCAGGAGCTGAGTGATTTATCACAGAAATAGCACCATAGAATCTCAGTATTGATTAAAAAACAACTTACTTGAACCCAACTTGGTCTTTTGCTATCACAGTCCACAGCTCTGGCTAGAGTTAGGATCTTAAATAGTTCCCCGTTCCCCATTACACATGTGCTGAAAGCTTATTTCCTACTATATACTATCATTGGTAGATGGCAAAACTTTCAGGAGCTGGGTAGTTACCATTGCTGGCTTCCCCTTGAAGATACTAGGGCCATGGTCCCTCTTTACATCTCCTCCATTTTGCTTACCTGCTCCCATGGAGACACTAACGAAGCCAATACTCTTGTCTGCGCTGTAACGACAAGCAGCACACTTGTTGAGAGTATAGGTAATTGTTTATTATAGAAATTACTTACAAGAGATAACGGGCAACCAAGGTGACTCAGTACAGCTTTCGCCACAGAACAGGGAGCCGAAAAGAGAGCATGCTTCTCTCCTGCACGGTTTTTTATTCCCATCTCCGTACACTCCTCTAGCCATGCCTAAAGTGGTTCACTGCGCTTTCATTACCACATCCATATGTGCCTCCAGCATTCAGCATCACTAGTGGCGCAGTCCTAAAGTCTCCTCCTACACTTGTCATATGCCCAAAGCAACACAGCTTTGTATCCATAAACTTTTACAACTAAAAGCAGAAATAGATTTTTCCCCTTTTCAAGTTAATATTCCTCTTCATGAGAATGGAAAATAAGCAAATTATTACCTCAGATTTGGCTATCATAGCCATCTGGCTCTCTTGACTATCTCTCTATGATTTTTTTCCATATCAGGGCATGAATGAATCAGTCTCTTGTGATGGTAACTGACTGAACTTGAGATATTACTCCGCATACCTGGGTCTGTCATTTTGGCGGATTTTAAATTCATCAACTGGGTGCTGAGCCTAGTGCAGAGAACTATGAGCACAAAACAAAGAGAGGAATCCCCACTCCCTTTCCAATTTTCATAATGTAGACAGATCAGTGAATGACAGTGAACCAAGTTGCTGAGCCAAATAAGAAAGATGGATCCATGGAAAGAGAACTATATGCTTTGAATACTTGGTGGCCCACTGGTGGTACGGTTTGTGGAAGCTATGGAAACTTTGGAAGATGGGAACTTGATCAGGGATGTCTAGCCCTGGTTCCTGCCACACTTTCAGACAACTTGTCTGCTGAGAGGTAAACAGGCTGCACCAAAGCTCCCACAGCAATGACTTGACCTACTCCAGACTGATGTGCATGGACAAAGATGATGGACAGAAACATTCTGAATCCCTGAGTCAAAATAAGCCTTCTCTTCTTCAAGTAGTTTCTGTCACAAACCTTGTTTACTGTGACACAGAAATAACTAATATGCCAGATACATTTGTGGAGAATTCTATTCTTCTCTCAGAATCCATGTATTCTTCCCTTATCTCTTTTAATCACAGAACTTACCAATGTGTAATTTGATGTGCAAATATTGCACTTCCTCAGAGATGAGCTTAGTTCTGACTACAGAGTGGCAATTGAAATGATGTCACCACCTGGTACATCATGATTTTTACAAAGAAAACTCAAGTTCTCAACTTAAATTTTTCTGTCTGTCATATCCTGATGGGCAAGAGAGCTAGTGAACCACTCTAATTATCTATTGAAGATATTAGACACCTAAGAGTAAACTCCAGAGAAACATTGGCCACTTGGTTGTCTTGCAAAGATAAGGTTTGATCATTCACTTCTAGATTCACAATGCATAGGGTTGGATCTTTGCTTGTAGTAATTGATCTTTGTTTATCTAAACTATCTTAAGGGTTTCTGATGGAGTACTTATACTTTATGGAAATTAAGAAATAATTCTATGTGGAAAAGAGATTAACATTTTCACAACATCTTGAATGGTACACAGAAAAGTTAATTGAGATGAACAGAAGTAGGAAAATAGTGTCCATAAAGAAAATAACATCTTGAGGGACTATGGAGAGGACTTAATGGGTGAAAGTGTCTGCAGTCAAGCCTGGGGACCTGAGCTCTGTGGTCATATTTTGTTTGTGATCTCACAAATAAAGTTTGCCTGGAGATCAGAGAGTAGCTAGCCACTAGTTAACATAGAGGTCTGGGGGTCTCTACAAACAAACAGGGAGTGATATGGCTGGACAGAGAGACAAATATAAGGCAGGATGGGACAGGAGCTCAGTCCCTTTCAGGCTGAGGTGTTAGGAGATAAGAAGTTGCTGTGAAGTCCTCCTTTGTTTCTCTGTTATTTCAGCCTTTACCCCGATTTCTGACTCTGGGTGTTTATTATTAAGACCAGTTAGAACTCATGCTACAAAGCTCAATCTCTGTAGGTGATGTGGTGGATGGAGAGAAATGATCTATGAAGTAGTGAGTTCTCTATTCATTATGCATGTGCATAACACACACAAAAAACCTGGATGAACTGATGGATAGATAGATAGATAGATTGATTGATTGATAGATAGATTTTAACAAGTAAATATAATTTGGCATTTTCAGGTATATGAAAAAGAATTATTCAGATTTGGCAGATATAAATTAAATTGGAAACACTAAACCCATAGACAGGAAAGTGGGGAAAATAAGAGCGATCAGCTCACAAAAATTTCCTGGCATGTAGAAGGAATATGAAATTTATTCTGTTGATATTTGGGATACTGAAAAACTGTAAACACACTAAAGAATGATAGACCCATATAGGTTCTATGAATGATGCTCTGTATTGCAGAGTACATGTCATGAAATTAACAATGGGACCTTAGCACATGCCATCATGCAGTGCCTTTTAGGCTTATTTACACAATTGTGAGAGAGCAAGGTAGCTCTCAATCAGAGGGTATAAACTGTGGAACATGAGTCAAGTTTTATCATTTTGCTCTGTGTGTGTGCATATGTGAGAATATATATATGTATGCTTATACATATGCATGTGTATATATGTATGTATGTTTATATATGCATGCATGATAGAGTATCCAAATGTGCATTAATGCCTGTGAGAATAATTATGTGTGTATGCATATATCTGTAAATGTATATTTTAGTACGTTATGTGTCTGTATTTATATGTGTGTGTATGTGGGGTTAGTGACTGTATGTGTGTGTGTGGGAGAGGATAGGATAGAAAGTGTATATGTGGGAAGGAATAAATATATGTGTTTGTGTAAGTGAAAGTAAGCATGTGTACATACGTGTGCATTATGTATATTTATGAGATTATGTGTGTTCAAGTATCTGTGTGTAGGGTTCTATGTACATGTACATATGTTGGAAATGTAAGTAAATATGTCCATGTGTTTATATGTATGTTTGTGTGTATGTGCATGAATGTGCTTGTGCATATATGTGTGTGAATATGCTTTATGTGTGTCTGTAAATGTGTTTCTGTTTTGCTTTGTCTCTTGTGTTCTCATAGGTCTTCATATATGTAGGGAAAGCACAAAATCACATAATTACATCTCTTGCTCTTCCCAAATCTTTATTTGTAAACAGTACATAAGTCGCCTACACTGTCCTTGAACTTGTTTTGTAGCTCAGGCATGCCCTAAGTTTATAATTCTAGTGTTCATCTTTCTCAGTAGCTATAATTACAGGTTTGAGCCAGAAGACCTGGATATTCTGCTTCTCTTAGTAAAAATTTATTCAATTAAATTCCTAGTCATTTATACATGAATTGTCCATTACTGTGTTTGTGCTACTGTGGCAGAGTTGAATAGTTCCACAGGAATGAAAAATGTTTACTGGCACTGGCTGTAGATCATCCATCTTGCCACAAGAATATTTCCAGGCCTACTGCAGAGGCCTCCTAAACTATCAACTATTTCTTCAGTCACAGCATTTCTAGATTTGATATTTTGTATACTTAGCCTTCATAGAATGTTTTTTATTCCAGATCCTACTGGCACAAGACAGTTAAATAACTACTACCCTGTGTCACATTTAGAAAGAGTTTTCATTCCAAGCACAATTTGCTTGTTCATTGAAGAAATAGACAGTGAGTTCCTACTATGTGCTAAGTGAGACACACCAATGAGAAAAGGGAACATGACATCAAATCAGATGTGTGGAAGCTGATTTGTTAATACATTGGGACTTGTCATATGGGCCCACAAGATAATGGAATGCATGAGGGACGTTTGGTATCCCTGCCTTCATTCTGCATCTATATTTTTACTGAAGACTAAGAGTCTTCAGCTTTAAATTCCTCTTGATACACAAGAATGAAAGGAAGAGCAAGACCTCAAAACAGACCCAGGCAGGATAAGGTTTCACCCTCAGTGATTAGAAAAGTGATATATTATCAGAATACATGGCAGAATGAATCGCTTCACAAGACCAGAGCTAAGACAGTGACAGGTCAGTAATGGGATGCACCACTCCTTAACAAGAGTTGTTTAATCCTGGGTACCTTATGCCCTCTGTGTAAACTTGAACAACAGTACCCTGAAAATGAACCTAGGATTATTGAACCTCTATATTCCATCCTCTTTGCATTCAGACCACATTGAATGCATTGAATGTATGCTCTTTCTCCACTTTTCATCGTTGATAAGCTCTCTGCTGTTTTTTAAAACTCATTTACTTTTAATTGGTATATCGGGATGGATGGTCAGTTGGCTCAGCTTCTTGGTGCTGCTAGAACACTTGTTTTTATACTAAAAATTACAGTAGCAGAATCTTCATCAGAGCTTACATTATAGCTAATATAGGAAGGGATTAGATCTTCTAGTCCAGTGGTTAATTTTATTTAAGTACACACATACATTGTGTTTGTTTATGATCACACACATAACAATGTTTCAGCTTGTCAGTGGTTCCATAACCAAGACTGTCCTGACTGAATGACTGAAACAATTGAACTCATTCTTCTAAAGACTACAAACTGGAGATAAGTTGCCAACAGATATGGTTTCTTATGGTGCCTCACTCCTCATTTTGCAAGAGTACTGAGTGCCTTCTTACTGTGTCCTCCCTTGCCCTTTTCTGGGTACATACACAAATCATTTCTCAGAAGGACACAAGTAATACTGGGTAAGGGCCCAATTTGTGATCTCTTTCACCTTAGTTAACTCTTTACAAGTCGCTAGAGGCAATTCTAAGTTGCTGCTGTAAGATTTCTATGTACAGATTTGACTCAAACACGTGTTATATATCATATATTAATATTCATATCTATATTAATATCTGTATCTATGGTTTTATATCATGAATACATACATGTACACACACACACAAGTAAACACACTCTCTACTTTTGAGATCATTCCATCCTAGAGATAGAGTCAGGATCTTATCTAAATATAAATCCTACAAAGATACAGCCCTCCAGGAGATTAAATTTAAATTGAAGAAAAAAACATAGTCAAAAATAAATGCTATACATGTACTTGAAAAACTTAGTGAGAACATTTGGACTCTGACTAAATGAAGATGTATTCTCCCTGACATTTACATGTAGCCAACCTCTGTACAATCCTAGTTATACTAACCAA